CTGAGGCGAGCTGGTCTGGGAAGCTCAGTCCTCACCTCCTTCTACAGGTGTGCAGTGGAGAGCATCCTGTGCTCGAGCATCAATGTGTGGCATGGAGGCTGCACAGCTGCAGAAAGAAAAGCTTTGCAGAGAGTGGTGAAGGCTGCACAGGTCTGTCGGAATCAGCCTCCCCACCATCACCGACATCTACACCTCTAGATGCAGGAAGAGGGCCACCTGCATCATGAAGGACCCCACTCACCCAGCACACACACTTTTTGCCCCACTCCCCTCAGGAAGGAGGTTAAGGAGCATTAAGTGTAGAACCACTAGACTGAGGAACATCTTCTACCCTGAGGCTGTTAGACTCATGAATCTCTAACTAGAATAATCACTGTGAAAAACCATATCATGTTGCTGCTGATCTGTTTCATGTTGCTGCTGATCTGTTTCATGTTGCTGCTGATCTGTTTCAATGTTGATGTGTTCATGCGTGCACATCTGCTCACAGACTCATGTTCATGTTTGTGCTGATGTTCAATGTTTTTATGTTATGAGTGCTTAGTGTATATTTTGTTGATGTTTTTCTTAGTTCATATCTTAGATGTTATTACTGTTTTTCTTATACATTTTATTGATGGATGTAACTGGGACCTTGTGTACATAATTTCGCTCCACCACATGTACCACATGAGGTGCGAATGACAATAAAGAATCTCTGACTCTGACTCTGAATATAATTGTATTTAATTGAACTGTAACAAATTGGTTTTGAACGAACATTCTGCTAAATACATTGGATAAACTTGTAAGTGGAATCGAATTAATTTAATGAATTCAACTTATTGATGATTTGAACCACTGTTTTATACGTATAGTTTCCTAAATCAGTTTTGTAGTGAAATAGTCATGAATCAATAAACAAAATTGAACTGAATTGAAAAGTTTAACTAAGTGGGCCCTAATGGTAAGAATAATTTGTTTAAATTTGTACCTGTGTGAAAGATGGCACAGGTAAGAAAGATGTTTCTTTAGACTAGTGTTGAAAAACTAAATATATTTTACATTTTCCACAGATTATGTTAGTTTAGACTGATTGTAGTATTTTATTATAGTATCTGCTGAACAGAAGAAACTACACTCAGTGTTCCAGTAAATTCCACAGGATCCAGAACACAAAAAACTAATTGACACATGAAGAATTTGAGTGTAAAACTTACTCTCCTGTCAAGATCCGTTGAGCTGGTCATCGAGCTGACAGAAGACGACTGTGGGGTAAAATCTCTTCCCGACATCATCTGCTCTTCATCATCCTCCCTACCTTCCTTTTTCACTTCCCCTTCTCCCTGTTTCTCCAATTTAGTTTCTACTTCTGCACTAACCATTCCCTCTTCCTGGATCTTTGCATCACATGTTCCAGATATTGTTTCATTTTCTTCTATGTGGCTGGTGATCTCACATGATGATGAGGCTGCCCATTGGTCCTCCTCTGCATCACTCTCAGGGTAAACAATAGCCAATTTTGCATGAAGGCAGTCACTAAGGTGATTGTTGGTGAAATCTTCTCTGTTTCCAGAGTCCTCCCATCTCCAGGACTCCTGCAAGGCATCATCTGGAGGATCTGATGTGACAGTTGGGAGCTCAAATAAAATATGCTGTGGACTTTGATCCATGAGGAAAAGATCTGATGGAGAATTTTGTGTTTTCTCTATCAGCATCCCTGTTACACATTCATATACTTTCTCTTTATTTTCATCTTCTACTTTCCCCAGATTTTCAAACTCTAGTTCTTCATCTCCATTTTCTCCCTCGACTGTCCTTCTGTCTGGATCTTCAGTTCCTTCTTCATCATCTTTCACTTCCTGTCTGCTTTCATCTTCCTCCTCAAATAATCCTCTCCAGTTATCACGCTCACCTTGTCCTTCTGTCTCCTCTTCAGTCTTGAAAACCAAATGGTCACATTCATCTTCCTTAGCAGTCTCATCTTCCTCCCCATGAATTTCTGAGCAACAGAGTCTCTCTTCATTTTGATTGTTGCTGCTGCTTGAGTTGTCTCTCACCAGGTCTGTTGCTGGTGGTGATGAGTTCATCTCCATGGTAACAAGATTCTCTGTAGGTGTAGCAGTAGAAGAGGTGCTGGGAGGGTTGTTGTTGTGGCTACTGTTCATGAGTTCTGGTATTGTCCTTTTGAATCCAGCTGTAGCTCTCTGTGGAAACATGGATACAAACATTTATAAAACTGTAGTTTATTTTAAAAAATCCAAGTTAAATTTAAAACAGATTACAGATTAAAAACAAGCTAACACAGCCCCAGGCACTTGAAGAATGTGATGACTAATATTCATGAATTTCAGCTAATTTTAGCACAAACTCTGAACTTGGTCCGGACTCAGCTCGACTGAGCTCGCTTGGTCCCACCAGAGAAGCAGGGACGAAAAGAGGTCCAGAGTCGGGGCTTATTAGGGGCAGTGCAAATAAAGCAATTGTGTTTCCATTATACTTTCAGTACCTGATCCAGTGGGTGGGGTTCAAATTGATGTCACACGCCTCATCAGCTGGTGGCGGTGAGACCTTGAAACAGATTTTAAAAGTACAGGGCAGTGTTGCCAGGTGTACCATAATTATCGTATTTGTATGACAATTTTGCCCTCTGTCTACGAGTGACGTGTTTGTGTTTGCCTCAGAACAACGGCCATGATTGGCTGAATAGTGTGCTGCGCCCGCCCATTAGTGAGGAAAATAAAAAAAAGAAAAGAAGAAGAAGCAGAGCCGGTCTGGAAGCTGACCCATCAATATAGTGCATAAATAGATTTGTTATTTTGGTTATGACGGGTGCACGATAATTTCCCTCAAAATACGATAATTTTATGTCTCTAGTACGATAATCCTACATTTCTCACCTTGCAACACTGGTACAGGGTGAGAATTTATTTTGAAGTTTCTGGTCAGTTAAAAAGAATACAAATGATTAAATGATAGAACAATATATATATATATAATATATCTATATATATATCTTTCTATCTATATCTCTATCTATCTATCTCTCTATCTATATATCTATCTATCTATATCTATATCTATCTATCTATATATATATATATATCTATATATATCTATATATCTATATATATATATATATATATATATATATAGATATATATATATATATCTATATATATAT